TTTTAATCTGTTTAGGGACTTTTCATTTTCCATTTGTTTTTAGTTTTTTTTCTAAAAATATCAATTAAATTTTATTTGTAGGTTGCAAAACCTTGAAAATTTAATAGAAGGCTCCTAGTATATTGTTTCAAAGGCAGATGAAAAATATTAAAAATCCTTAGTCACAATTTTATTTTATCAGCATTAGAAGTTCAAAAATTGACAAAATATAGAAATCTCACGAAAATTAGCAAATTATTTTGAGTTAAGAATTCATAAAAATTTTTCTTTTTAAATCTAAGATTTGAAAATGAAACACAAGATTCCTTATAAGATTATCTACCAAAAAGTGTAAAAATTTAATACAAGGCTCCTGATATATTGTTACAATAGAAATTGAAAAATTTTAAAAATATCTAGGCACAATTTTTTTTTTCATAAGCATTTAAAGATCGAATTTGACAACATTCATCAAAATCTCGAAAATTATCAATCATTGTAATTAATAAATTATAAAATGTTCAGTTTTTATAGCAAAGGATTGAAAATTTAAAACAAAGGTTCTAATAAATAGTTCATACTGTAACCAAAAAATCTAAAAATTATATGAACACAGTTATTTTTTACAGAAATTTTAAATTCAAATTTGGACAAAATTACATAATAAAAAACCTAGAATAACTATTTTAGTTATTTTGTTTTGATTGTATAATATTTTTCGTGGGTACTTGAAACTTCTAAAGTATACTACTACATATATATCTATGATAGTATCAGGGTTTGTTGTTGGTGTATAACGCGTTATAAGTACCTAATGGATATTGTGATATGATTAATTTTGAATTCATTATAGGCACCTACCTATTATATCAATTTTTTTTTAATACCATTGATATGACTTATACCTAGACTGACATACCGTGTCTGCTCAGAATCGTTTTTCTTATACAATGATATTATATTATTGCATTCAAATATAATACCATCAATTATACAGTGACCCACTTGTAACCTACAGTACAGCAGAGCGACATCCACTTACCCACCTTCTTTTTAAAAAAAGCATATAAAGAACGAATTTTGTCATAATACGTAAAAATCACAAAAATGTGCAAATTACTTTGAGGTAAAATAATTCATAAGAAATTTTATTTTTAAAGCTAAGATTGGAAAATTTAATTCAAGATACCTCATAAGTTTGTCTTTCATTAGAAAAATAAAATATCTACCAGAAAGTCATATTAAAGTATTTTGTACGTTTGATTTTCAATTTTTTTTTTCAAAAACAAATAACTGTGGACACTTGAAATTTACACCATATGTGTTTATTTCATTGATTCCTATACTTGATAACATAATGTTGTTTAGTTTTGAACTTATTCCTACGGATACTTACAATTTTAATTTGTTAGTTTTTTTTTCCATTAGAAAAATTCCAAAAGAAAAATTAAGGAAAAACGGGAATTTTTACGCAAAATCGATTTTTCAGAAAATTGAATTTGGTTTTTGGTGTAACTTAAAAACAAAAGACCGTAGATACATGAGATTTTCACTGGTTGTTTATATTTGAATTTTCTATACAGGATAACATTTTCAAAATATTTGATTTATTTTGAACTGTTTAGGGACATTTTCATTTTCCAATTTTATTAGTTTTTTTTTCTAGAAATATCAATAAAATTTTATTTGCTTAATGTGGTATATAAAATGTGCTCCATAGATATACTGGAATGATTTGACAAAATATTTTAATAAATTACGAGTATAATGTAGAAGTTGTTGCTTATTATTACTTAAAATAATTCGCAATGAAATATGTAATTTAAATACCTTCACCAAATTCATAAAATAAAATGTAGATACTCAATTAGGTGTCTACTTAATTAAACAGGTAGCTAGGCACTTGATAAGATCACTTATTACCCACCTTATTCAGCCGCTTGTCGAATGTGAAACGCTGTTCAAATAATATTTTATACCTACTTGCCTAAGAAGTACCAGCTAGTAGCACACAGTATTACAGTAAAGGTACTAATGTACTATAGGTCGAATGGGCCAACTTGGGGCCAAAATATTATCTTATAGTTTTACCTCTATAACGGTCTCTTGTCATATCTTAATACTTATTACTTATCATTTTGGTAAGGAAGTAGTGTCGCCGCATCGGATTTTAACTAATTAAATAGGCAGTGATGGGAAAGAACGCTTTCATAAGAACGTGTTCATATTGTGGGAACTTGACATGAACGAGTATGATTTTCAAGAAATGAACTTGAACGTGAACTAAGTTCTTATTGATTATGATTTTGAACGTTTTGGGTTCGTTCATTGACAATTTAAATTTCATAGAACAGGCGATAGGATAACGTTTTGAAATGTTTTGTAGCCAATCAGGTTCCTTCTCAAGAATAAAAAGATATAATTTGTTTTTGATTTTGTTTATCTTTAGTTTGGATATTTATTTTTGCCCTGAAATCACAACGCTGCGCCGTTGATCGACTGAAAGAATAGTAGGTACCATAACGTTTGTGGTATATTTTTATAATTCTGTTGTAACTTGACATGATACAATGAAGTGTAATAAATATAATATAAATTATAATAAATAACATTTCCAAGACTAACACGTCCATACATATTATTTTTTTCTGTATACAGCGCGTTCCACAGAATACAGGGTGATTGGAAAAATATAAAACTATTTGTATTACGCAATCAAAATTAATTTTAATATTATGATTTTGTTTCCGTTAATTAATCAACATTATTTTAACCACTACTCTATAATTATTATTTTAAATTACTAATTAGTTACATAGGATAAAGTAAGTTGCAGAGCCACGTATCGCCGGCTTCGACGCATAGTCTAACTTGAACTAGTTCATTCTAAAAACTATGAAATAGAATTTGAACTAGTTCATATTTAATGTCTTGAACTTGAACTTGAACTAATTCATTTTTAGAAAGAACTTTCTCATCACTGTACCTAAATAGGTACCTAAGTAAGCACTCCGGTACTCGAGATGATCCCTTATACCAACCTACTTATTTTCAAATAAATACCTAGGTAGGTACTTGCAACTTGGTATTTCTTTTTATTTCATATATGAAATATTTATAGTACCTTTATTTACACATCAATGTTATGATCTGACTGAGTAAAAAATGACAACCATTTATATACAAAAAAAAATAATTTTCACTGTTAATCTCAAGTTCCCTGTCTGGCCAGCTCTTTAAAATTCGAATATCGGAAAATCCTTGATGGAAAATCTGATGTACAATCTAGATCTTTAGAGGAACCACTATTCCAAATGTGTACGTTTTGAAGTTTTTGAGTTGTATCGATCAGTTAGTGAACGAGTGGTATGTGCCATTCATATATGATATAGATGAAGTGCGCCAAGCTTAATAATAATATTATATAGAGTAGAATCATTTACTTTTCGATATTTTAACCGACAACCGAATTTCCTGATTTACTAATTATTATAGCCGACAGTCACACACTCAAAGTCCTTCAAATTGACTGTCTCTTTGACGTCACACACGTCTGATACATGACAGACGTTACATTTAACGTCCAATAACGCGTGACCCCAGCCTTATATTTCTTAAATATTGTCGTTCAGACGTCAAAATATATATATAATATAATATGAACTATAGTTTGAATTTATTACCTATACATTTTAACTATTTATATTTTATGCATGCAATAGTTATCGTGCTTTTGTACCTACTGCAAATGACACACACGGTTTTGAGCATATTTTATTCGCGTTAGATCGATTAATGTCTTCCGGAATTAATTTTATAATATAATAATATTTTATGTTTTTTTTATTATGTTGATATTATATTAGGTAGGTATACTGTTACCGTATACATGAACTGTAATTAGACACGAGGTGATTTCTACTTTTTTTTTTTTTTGATATGAAATAAAACGACATAAATTAAAATAATATAAGTTCCAATTTTTTATGGGTCAATACAAAAGTTAAATATAAACAATACATCATAATACATCAATAAATTATTTTACAAGTGTTCACTTTTCAGTATAATATCCTTTAAAACTAATATTTATTTATTTATTTATTTAATTGATTTAACAGGCTTGAGCCCTTTGATTATAAGGTATAATACAATTGACAAATTACATGAACGGAAACTTACATATTTTGATTACAATAAACAAAAAGGAAAAAATAATAAAGAACTATACAAAGTACAAATACAGAAATACAACTAACCTAACCTAATAAACAATTAATATTCATATTAATACTTGCAATGATATAATATAAAATAATGGAAAATGATAAAGATCCAAAATGATCGTAACATTTAAAATATATAATATTATTGTAATAGTAAAATATAATATATACACGACAAGAAATCGTTAAGTTAAATATAATTTGTGTTTGCACATATATTTTTTTTAATATTTTTTTTTTTATTAGAAATCAAAATAAATGGTTACAAATTAAACAAATTTAACAAATTGTTACTGTTTTGATTACCTACACATACTGTACACATACTATTTATAGGAACAAGACACCCAAGCATAATATAACATTTTCATGGTATTCAGAATCAGTATCTCGTCGTCTATGTAGTCAAAATATAATCTTAATTGCCCAGGAATTTAGTTAATAATAAATAATAATAATACGCTGAAATATATTATAGACAATAACGAAAGAAAACGCGAATAACGAGTACAAAAAACGATAAGAGATGATGGGGAATGATGAAAAGGGCACAGTCCATAGACACACAGATTATCTATGCTGTTTAGTTGCGTTAGTAGTTCTTACATGTAGGGGCTGGGGCGGAGGGCAATTGCTTCGGCTCTGGTAGCTATTTTGCAACAGCTGGTTAGGTGGGTGTGATGCAGGTGCGGCGATTAAAATATGTCTAATTTTGAGGAATATTGGCCAGCTAAGGTGGTTGATACACAACTAATAACTAGTCAGAAGTCTAACTAACGGCAATGGAAGGAATTGATGAGGCAGCTTGAAGTTACTCAAAGTACTGGCTCATCAACTGCGATGCGGAAGGAGGAGTCCACCACATTAAAATACCTAGTAAATCAGGATGGATCAAGTATTGGAGGATTAGGAAAAGGAGAAGGTGCAGAGGGTCAAGAAGTAGGTGCATTCGGTCTAGGAACTAGAAATGAAAGAGGAGACCGCCTTGTAGACTTCTGCAATCAACATATTATGACCATAACTAATACATAAAATACATAAAATGTGCAAGAGAGAAATGTGGTTTTATTCGTATTAACTCTGTGTTGTGCCATATTGTATTAAAGATGACCAAAAATATGTCCTGCTCTATTACTTTGAAGGTGAAACAGAAAACCTAAGACAGCGGGCTGTAAAATTAGAAAATTGGAACTTGGAATATCTCAAGTTCTGTTTTAAAGTGCAGGGTATCAGAAATGAGTTGTTTGCCAGTGCCCCTTGCACAGCGACCAGTCTTAACAACTATGTACAATCCAATGACAAATGGCAATGTAATGTCACATTCAAGTCAAATGAGACAATTCTACAATCAACGTTCTAACAATAATCAAGCCCAACAACAACAGTTGCAGCAATAACATCAGATACCACAGCAACAACAAATAATTACCACTAATCAAACTCAGCAGTCATATAGTGGCCATCTGTCGTTTAATCAACACACAACAGCGCAACGCATTAAGGAATGCTGGGCCTGTTGCAATTGCTCCGCCCTTAGAAATCATTGCCTTATCGTCCCTTAAATCCAGCCCTATTCTTCCAGCTGTGCAGGAGAATTCTTTTTGTAATATTAATGCATGGGAATTGACGAGAATACCGGAACGGATGTGGGGGGCCCATGACACATCTAAAAATGCCGCATACAAGGTTAATGATATTTAATATTCCAAAATATTCACCAATAACACAAATGCCTTTAATTGCGGCAAAGCATGCGTGACATCTTGTAGCCTGGCCATGGGTGTTGCAGCCGGGTACATTGACCTGATTCGTCCATTTCCCCTCAACACGGCCAACTGCTCGCTGTCAAACAAACGACGGGTGAAATGTAATAACCACTTCTGAACACTGTTGGATGAGCAGTAGGAGGGATAGTGATTATTAAAAAGAAGAGCAGACACTTACGAATTTCCACTGAATAGTGTCGTTTTCAAGTATTTGTTTAAGATGTATCTCTCGACTGTGCACGAAGTCAACACCATCTGGACTAAATCGTTTAATGTCACCATCAGATCCGAATAGATGTATGGTTTTGCGTTTATGCAAGGAATCACTCTCCCTTTGATCTGTGTTAAATATATATATATACATATGAATATTATTTATTTTTTAAATACAAATAATAGTATCATAATAAATTAAAAGACAAATTTTCGGCATTCTATATAGCAAATAAAATCGAAATAGTAATTTTTTGTGTTAATACTATACTTAGAATTTAAGTTAATAACATACGGACGGGCCTGTTACTTATTGCTATAAAGCGATTGATCAAATAATAAATGTTGAAACAATTGTAAGAAGTTAAAAAATATAGATAAATAATGATAATTAATAATAAAGATTAACTCATAGTACCTATTTTATGTTTATTAATGAACATTATAAACTTATCTATGATATGAAAAATTGGCTGAAGTTATGTTTATGCTATTTTTATTAGTAAATATATATTTGTTTAAAAAAAAGGTATAGAGGTATTAAGATTTTATATCTTATAGAGGTATGAAAAATAATAATAATTTTATTCTAGGCCCCAATAAATTCAGTCAATCTTAAAATATTAAATATCACTAACCTTGTATGCAGCATTATTAGATGTGTCATGCGCCCTCCACATCCGTTCCCGTATTCTTGTCGATTCCCATGCAATAATAGGACGAAAAGAATTCTCCTGCACAGCTGAAGAATAGGGCTGGATTTAAGGGACGATAAGGCAATGATTTCTAAGGGCGGAGCAATTGCAACAGGCCCAACATTCCTTTATGCGCTGCCCTGTTGTGTGTTGATTAAACGACAGATGGCCACTATATGACTGCTGAGTTTGATTAGTGGTAATTATTTGTTGTTGCTGTGGTATCTGATGTTATTGCTGCAACTGTTGTTGTTGGGCTTGATTATTGTTAGAACGTTGATTGTAGAATTGTCTCATTTGACTTGAATGTGACATTACATTGCCATTTGTCATTGGATTGTACATAGTTGTTAAGACTGGTCGCTGTGCAAGGGGCACTGGCAAACAACTCATTTCTGATACCCTGCACTTTAAAACAGAACTTGAGATATTCCAAGTTCCAATTTTCTAATTTTACAGCCCGCTGTCTTAGGTTTTCTGTTTCACCTTCAAAGTAATAGAGCGGGACATATTTTTGGTCATCTTTAATACAATATGGCACAACACAGAGTTAATACGAATAAAACCACATTTCTCTCTTGCACATTTTATGTATTTTATGTATTAGTTATGGTCATAATATGTTGATTGCAGAAGTCTACAAGGCGGTCTCCTCTTTCATTTCTAGTTCCTAGACCGAATGCACCTACTTCTTGACCCTCTGCACCTTCTCCTTTTCCTAATCCTCCAATACTTGATCCATACTGCTTTACTAGGTATTTTAATGTGGTGGACTAATTCTCCTTCCGCATCGCAGTTGATGAGCCAGTACTTTGAGTAACTTCAAGCTGCCTCATCAATTCCTTCCATTGCCGTTAGTTAGACTTCTGACTAGTTATTAGTTGTGTATCAACCACCTTAGCCGGCCAATATTCCTCAAAATTAGACATATTTTAATCGCCGCACCTGCATCACTCACCTAACCAGCTGTGCAAAATAGCTATTTCGTTGAACCCTGAAAATTCAATAAAAATTCAATATAAAAAATTGTTAATTTACTAATATATATTACATAGCCCACAATGTAATATTAATACCCACCATTGAATTCAAACAATTAATTATTATATCACACATGCAAAACTTGTAGTCAATACTTTTATTAAATTATAAATTAACTTTAATAAAGCATCAAAATATATTAAATTATAAAATTATCCAACATAGTAACAGCTGGACTCTTAATTTTAAAACAATTTCAAATAAAAGAAAAGCAATATACTTTATTTTATAATTATTATTTATTAATATATCAGCATTACTTTTAGTCAACAAAAAAGTGTAAAAAAAAACGTTAATTGTTTGAATTGCCAACTGAGGAATAACAATAATTAATCCGTTAGTTTATAAAAATTATTTGTGTTAAATAATAATACAAAAAAGTTATTTCTTTAAAGGAGACAAAATTATAAAATACAAAATAGTTTAGAGCATGTGCTTTGAACTACATATAATTGGTTTAGTATTTCTATATAAGGGGTTAGGAATAAGTGGGGAAAAAAAATTAAGAAAGTTGAAAAATAAGTACCGCATTATAGCACTGGGCAGCTATACTTTGATTTCTGGCTGCAATAGAATAGCCACAAGTTGAGGGCGGCTGAGCATGAGTGCTATATGAATCAACCTGCAAAAATATTATATATTTATTATTATTATTATGAATTAATGATAATTATAATATCATAATATATGTTATGAATAGTTCAATAAATAAATTTAATAAGTTAATAACATCTGTAAAAATACATTAATATTAATTTAAAAAACGTTTATATTATTGGGTCTAACTTTTGTCAGCTGACATTATTTTCGGAATTTTTATAACCCCTTGGCTATTTGAAGACTTTAGGGCATTAACATGTCTATGTTTTGGCCAAAATCACTTTATATCGTCATAAAATATATAAAAAAAAATCTGCATCGATTGATGTAACAATGAGATATGTCTGACTGTTACATATGAAGTTATAATATGTCTTGTCGTTGTGTGGTGCAACAACAAGATATGTCCAGAAAAATACATATTAAATAAAAATTTAATTTTGGTGCAACAACAAGATATGTCCAAACAAGTTATTAAAAGGTATGTATGTAACTAAATTCTACTATTTTTTTTAAAAAAATTCTAATCTTTTTATTTGGAATTTACAATGTTTTTTTTGTCTGTTGAATAATTTTAAAAAAGGACATGTCTCGTTGTTGCCCCAAAGTCTTCATTTGAGAGTTGAGGGCTTGAGGCTTACTAATAATAAATAGATTTGAATAAATTATTTGATCAACTGAGTTAATTGTAGATAACTAATGACAGTTGTTATTATTTATTTATTTGTTTCTTGTTTGCTTATTTATTTTGATTGTTTGTTTAATCATTTATTTACTTATTATTAATTATACGTATTGTTGTTATTATATATTTAAATAGGTTTCATCGACGAATTTATTATTCACTTACCATTTAAATTTATTTTACTCTAGTGTGTCAATTACATTTTAATTCTGTTTATTTATTCTGTTTATCCTGAATTCGATACATTATTTAATAGTCGTTTGAGGTTAACCAAAAAAACAAATGAGACCATCTTATTATTGTTTTGTTATGGTAACACTGTAATCTATCATATTCATTTGTATGTGACTGTGTGTGTAATTAGTCATCTCCCTCGCGTCTCGCTTGTTTTGAGTTGCCTCGTCAATTATGTTAAATAAATAAATGTCAAACAATATTATTTTTGTTTACTAATTTCAAATACAACATTGTGTCAGGTGTTGATTCATTATGGGTCGAAAAAAGAAGGATCAAGCAGATAAATCTGGATCACAACATGATGAGTCAATAAACGAGCCGCAACAAACCACGTGCACTGATACTCAAATTTCTACAAAAACATTTACAATGTAGTCAGGTCTTATTGGTAATGTAAATCAACTATCCTTAGATGGAAATTTATGTCAAAATTGGTCCAATTGGTTGCAAGAGTTCAACATTTATTTGATTGCGAGTGGCTATGATAGTTATTAAAAATAACTCTAGTAATGATAATTTACTTTTTATTGGTTCTAGAATTGATCATAATAAAAATTATGTTTGGCAAATTGTATTACAAATTAATAATAGATATGTGAATTTTCAGTTAGATACAGGTGCCCAAGCTAATATAATGTCAATTGAAATTTAAAAAAAAATGAATATTTCTGTCAGTAGTATTAAAACACAATCTAATGTAAAATTAATGGCTTTTAACTCTAATAAGATATCCACTTTAGGTAAAAGCACTATTAAATGTTTTTATAAACAAAAAAATTACTTAATTGAATTTTA